GTGGCTTGGCAGGGGCTGGACAGTACCCAGCCTCTACACACCACTCAGTGGCCTTGCTTTAGGAAGGGGTAGGACATCACAGGGAGAGACTCCCCGGTGTCCCTAGAAAGACAATGCCCGCAACTTGGGTTCTTGTGCCTCCATGCCTGGCCTAGAAGGCAGCCCAGGTGCTCAGCCTTATCTGTAGCCCCTGCACAGACAGGGAAAAGGGACCCAGCACCCACCAGCCCACTCTTAAACCTAGGTTTATTTGCCTGACTGCCTTCTCTTTCAGTCTACACAGTTCACGTCACACATTTCCCAGTGTGGAAGACCCTCTTAGCAGCTGAGAGAGGTTGGACAGGGGAAATTTGGCCCAGACAGGTCCTATAGGCAGCACCCATCTTGAAGAACTCTCTACTGTCCAAGCTTGGGGGAGGCTGGCCTAGGCTGTCTGAGCAATCAGAACGTAACCAATTTACGAGCCCACAATGAGAAACACAGCAGCTGGGTAGGATGGATGGTTAGAACAGCCAGGGCAGAGTATGCCCTCCATAAGCCCAGGCAGGGAAGCTGCCTTCACTATTGTGCTTGTTTGGCCAGTGGCAGGGCCATGAATGGTGGGAATGGAATGTGCGGTGGCGTTGGCTCTGCCAGCCGCCTCAGTGCCTCCTCAGTGGCTGAGGCCCAGGTGGGCAAGCCAGCTCACATCGCTGGGACGCAGGGGCAAGCCACACCCTCAGCATCACAAGATGAGAGTTCATGGGTTTCGAGTCCTGACTCCAGCTGCCCTCCTGACGGACACACTGAATCCTCAGCTAAAGTAAAGCCTGCAGACTGGTACCTCAGCCTTGCACACCTGCGAACCTCTGCTCTCCTGAGAGGACTATAACCTGATTTCACAACTTACCTTTGTTTGTGGCCAAGGACCACCCACACTCGCCTGAATAGGCGATTCATGACTGGTGGCTCTAGGTTTGTTTTTTATAGTCTTACAGGTTAGCAACTCTGCAACTTCTGAGTATTCTATGATTGGACAAGTAACCAATCTAGAGCTAGAGCGAGGTTGCACACTGGAGGAAGGGGTGTCAATATGACAGCAGGATCAGTATATACTCACAATATATAGGGAGAGAAAAAGAATAATAACAGATATGCTGTATGGCTTTCCTTAACTCTGACCCTGAGAAGACAGGGTAATTATACCTCCTAGCAATGAGCATATCTAACACCCAGGTGCTGGATTCTGAATACCAGACTCCACCAAAAGGAACCACGGTTCCATGGAGAAATGGTTGATTCAAGAGGTGCAGGTGAGGTGCAAGATGAACCTAGAACATCTTATTGACAGTAAGATTGGGCTTGGGTTACAATGGGGACATGTCCCAAGAAGATAGGATCTAATTTGAAGAGGCCCCCAAGACCAAATCTAAAACAATTTGAGCATCAAAATAATGATGGTAACTGGGTATACCCACTGAATAAACAAGAGTCTGAATCTACAGCAATAGAAATACATAAACAAGAAGGGAAAACTTTTTAGGGTTGAATGTTATCTAATCAATGCGAAATAGTAGAATTAGAACATCTCCATTGGCATGCAAGGATTATGAAGGGGTCTAGTCTGTTTAAATCAACATTCAAACAATCACAGAGAAAATACTTCACAGTGGAGAAACCTGGCAGACACCACTCTGAGCAAGTGACTGCAGTAAACACCAGTAATGCGGCCACTTGGCAGCTGACAGAATGCAGAGAGGGATGTCTATCACTTCTGGGTATTCCTGCCCAAAGCACATAACCCAAATCTCATCAGGAGAAAACGCCAGTCGCCCAAATTGAGATATCCTACAAAATAACTGGCCAGGTCTCTTCAGAAATGTGGATACCATGAAAGCCAGGCTGAGGACTGGTTCTGAGTAAAGAAAATCCTTGACAACTGAAGGCAACATGGGCCTGGACCAGAAAAACAATCGTTTTCTTTTGCATAAAGATCACCACTGGAAGAACAAGAAAATGTTAGTATTATGTCAATGCTAACTTCTTTGTTTTTTGGGGTAAGTTTTTGTTTCTGGGCTTTTTTAGTGTTACTGGTATTTTTAAAAGTCAGATTGTATGAATATACCATTTGTTTACAAAAAATATTCAATGTTTCCTGGTTTTATCATTTATTATGATTATATATCATATTGCATTTTCTATATACCTATAGAAAGAGAATGTTAAACTTAATGGAGTATTAATATTTGGGAAAACTGGAAATTCTATGTACTACATTTGCAGGTTTTCTGTACGTCTATAATTATTTAAAAATGAAGCTTTCAAAAATATACACTGGCTGGATAAAGGCACAAGGAATTACCTAACACAGTCTGGGCTCAGTCAGCACTGAGCGTGGTGGTCAGTATTATACAGATTGTGCCTTTGGGGCTATGTCTGGCCCCTCAACTAGAGAGATCATAGAACTCTAGGTCAGGCTTTTCAAATGTTTGCAGCATAAGAATCACCTGGAGGTCTTGGTTCATGCCGATTCTGGGGCAGATCTGATTGGGGAAGAGAGTCTGAATTTCTAAGGAGCTTCCAGGTGATGGTGATGGTGATGCTGATGCCGCCTTTCTTCGAGGCTAGGGATTACTCAGTCACAAGCACGGAGGTACAGCTGGGTTTGAACCCGGGGCCCTAGAATCTGCAGTCAACAAGACTGCCAAAAGCTTCATCTCCACAGGTGAGGCTAACATGCAGTCAGGATTAAGCCTTTACACTGTCTCCTCCATTCCATCATCTCCAACTCAGACCCTAAGTTTGGATACCGCCACGCCTTCCAACCCAGATTCCCTGCAGCTGATGCGTTCCACCCTCAACCCAGGAGCCAGAAGATCTCTGACTCCACCTTAATGTACAGGTCTAAAGCAAACTCTTCACCTAGGCAGCGAGTGCTCACTACTCTCCTGGGCTCCCCCTTTGAAACTCTGCTCCCAGGAGGGCAGCCGGGGCTCCCCCTTCACAGATTGCGCATGGCGTCTGCAATCATCTCCCACCCACACACAACGCCTATCTCAAGTCTCACTCGAGGTCTCCAGGTAAAAACCACCCAAGTTCCTCCCTCCACAGAGGCCTGTGCTGCAGACGCCAACCCCTCCACCCCTTCTAGGAGGAGACTGGCTGAGAGCCTGGTGGCTGAGACTAGCTTGTCTCACACACAACAGGGGATGATGCGTTTCTGCAGCTGGGACACAGGCCACCCCCATCCTGTTCACTCAGGACAGGGTTCAGCTCTCTGCCAAGCACAGTGAAGAGAAGGGAGGGGTATCATGGGTGTTGCCCTGGGGTTCTGGCCTGACACTGAATTTCCCATCCCCTACCCACCAACCACCTACTTCTCATCCTCCTGCCTTCTGCCGAGCATGTGGCCCAAATCTGAAGGACCTAGTGGAAAATAGGTCATAGGGAGGTGCCACTAGGTTGTGCCCACAGGGCAAGGTTGGGCCTAAGAGAGCAGTCACTTTGTTCAGGGTTGAAAGACAAACTTGAAAATAAGGTGTGGGGCCTGACAAGCTTGAGGAGACCACCTTCTCCTCCTCTGGATCTCCTACCTTTCTCCAGCACTCCTACCTCCAGGCAAGGCCTCTTGCTGGGCGCACCCCTTCTCCAAGCCTCACTTTCCTCCTGAATCAGCTCCACCAAGGCCCATGCCCTGGGGCTGCCGAGCTGATTCCAGTTAAGAAGCTTGGCTGCCTGGGCGGGGCTTTCCTAATTCTTAGGCGAGGGCTGAACAGGTGCCTCAATTCCCAGGAGAGAAACAGCTGCCATGGGGGAAGGAACAGCCACGCTGAGTGCCAGTAGGCTTCAGGAGGCCCAGAGTCCAGTGCCCTGCTTCTTGGAAATAAAGTTCATCCCCACTTCTGACCCTCGCAGCCTCCCCATGGGGGATGTTCAGGTGGAAACGCCCAGGAGAGACTCTTCACCCCCATGGAGGGTTTATGTCCCTTCCCACCTCCCATTCAGAGGCTTCTGTGATTCACACCCTCAGTCTCCTGACGGATCCATTTCATTTGGGAGTTGCAGATTCTGAGTCCTCTCAGAGAGGGAGGCAGGAACTTGGAAGCAAATATGAAGTAGGCGTGTAGAAGACATGAACACCCTATTCCTGGATTTGGGAATGTCCTCTTCACTGTCTAACTCTCTCATTTCAGGGACGAATTCAAGTCCCTCCAGGAAGAGGCTCCCCTCATCAGACTCGGGCAGCAGGCTTCTCTGTTCTCCAGAATTCCCTTAGGCTGCCCTATGCACACCCATGCTTATCCCCAGGCCTTGTTTCCAGCCTCATCTCGGCTCCCATCTTATAAGACACTATTTCAGAGGGAGACACTCCAGTTTGTTTACAATAGCGATAATTTTCCAAGCCTCAATGAAGACAGCTCAAAAATAACTGCAGGGGGGCCCTCCCTGGTTGCGCAGTGGGTTAAAGCACAGCACTGAGAAGCTAAAGCCACTTCCGCATGAGTTCAATTCCCGCCTGCCCCGGAGGTGACCACATGGCGTGGCAGACCTCTCCTGACCTGCCCGCTGCTCCCCTCAGCAGTGTACTTCGTCGATCTGCCTGTTCTGCTCCCCACTCTGTCTCTGGTGAAGTCTCCTGCCGCCCCTGAGTCTCTGGCATGTACCCTAGTTCTGTATGCAAAAATAAATAAATCTTTAAAAAAAAAAACAAACTGCAGGGCTCCGCCTTTGGGTATAACAGGCCATAAGTACACTAAACTACTATAGTTGGAAGTGATCAGAGGAATGACTAGGTTAGAAACATTGATAAAAATTATGGAAGGAATAAGTCAAACTATTTGAAATTGAGGCTGTGTTAGAAAATCCAAGATAAATAGCCCACTATCCATATATATTTTTTTCTTACATATCTAGACGATTCACCCAGTAAATGCTTGCATATTCCTGACCCTCTGTTTCTCCTATCTTTTCACATCCATTCAATTCATCTTCAATCAACACACTACATGTTTTTTCCATGAGTCAATCTTTATTGGCTTTTGTAATAATGAATTACTGGCACAAGGCTCAATGAGTTTTAAAGCAAATGACAGAAGGAAACATACATTGTTTAGATGGGAAGACCAAACAGGGAAGAATCCCAAGGCAGCTGTGACCCTCACCCCTATGAGCTGGGCCTTCCTCATGACAACCTGCAACCTGCCCACTGAGGCATGCTGCATCGGCCTGAGGTAACGGAGCCCACATCTCAGGGAATAGAAAAGGAATCCCAGTTTTCTCTCAAAGACAACCATGTTTTCTTTCTTGGAAACTTCTCCCAGTCTCCAAGACTTTGCCACCATCAACAATTTGATAAGCAAGAGCCCCTTCTTCCTCTGAGAACACCAGCCTGCTCTCCCTCACCTGCTCCTTTTCCAATGGAAGCCTCCCCCACGAGGGGCTGACACCTGCAGAGGGAGGGCCGTGGGAGGGTGATTGGGGTTTGAGAGTTGCCCTTGGCCAATGACTCTGAGGGTAAGTGCCCTTCCCCTCCACTGTAGTAGATCTTCTCACCAATGTTGGGGGCTGGGGGTTGAGAAAAAGGGGGCTTCTCAATAGGAGAGCTGCTGGCCCCTCTCCTCCGAGGACTCCTCCTCTATGAGCTCCAGGTCAAACTCATCTTCCAGGGACCCTCCAACAGGCAGAAGGCGGAACTTCTTTCCTTTCAGGGTACACGTGCGATGCTCGAAGTCCAGGACAGCGTTGTGGTCCTGGAGCACGTCAGTACCAATGATGGCCTCCTCGGCACTTGCATTGGCCACTAGGAACTCTGCCTTCAACTTGAGCTTGCCCAGGGACACCACTGTATCCCACACACCCAGGATCTTCATTTCAGCCCCATTGGCCACCTTTACCACATTCTCAAAGGGTCGCAGGGTGTCCAAGTCACCATCGGTGACCTCCTCCCACAGGCTAGGGTGGACCACAGAAACTTGGGCCCCAGAATCCACCAGGAACCTCACAGGCACATGACCAATCTTCCCCTTGAGGTAGTAGCCCTTACCCATGCTGAAGGCAAAGACGATCTCCTTGGGCAGGTAGCTGTGGGCGGCCATGGAACCCCCGAAGCTCCGCAGGAGCATCTCTTTCACAGTCTCATAGTCCCCCTGCTCCTTGGCACTGAGTCCACAGTAGGCCTCCAGGGCATTTCCCCTCAGGGATTCTTTCAGGAACTTCATCTTGGTATCAGAGTCCCACTGGTTGAGGTCGTTGATGACCTCCAGGCGGTGCAGCCAAAGGTGTGGGGCTACATTGGCTCCATCAAACATCTCTGGAACGAAGGTATGCTTCCGACGGCCCTCCTGGCTTCTGGCTCCACTCGCAGCCATCCTTCTGCTCTCTTCTGGAACTGCAGCAGCAACCCACACCAAGCAGAGAAAGCCACAGAGCAGTGTCGGCGCAATCACGCTGGATCACAAGACCTCTCTGAGTAGAGTGTGGTTCAGGTGCCCGGTCTGGTCCGGGCAGGCAGAAGAGACCACGCAGGGTTGTCTGACTGACTGCAGGGCACAGAGTCGGGCAGTTGCTGTGGTGCTCACTCTGCAGAGCCTTTTTGATGCCTAGCCTGGGCCCCCAGGGCTCCCCGTTCTCCTTTGTTCTGGAAGCTCCACCCCTCACAGTCCCGCCCTCCCGCTAGCATCCTGCCTGACTAGCAGGATCAGTGCCTCACCCTTCAGCATCCATCCACAGGACTGGCACAGGTCAGCCCACGTCGCAGGTTAAGGCCAGCCTTAGTCGGAGGGCACCTACTTAGGGACCCTCCCCCAGCCCGTGTCCCAGAACAACAGATGAGGACATGGAGGATGTTGTGACATTTAGGTGTTGGTCACCACTTGGAGAAAGGGTGGCAGGGACTACAGGCTCCGAGCCCTCGATCCCCAGTAACCACATGGAGTGGCTGAGAGAAAGGGGCTCACATTCACTGCATTCCTGTGTGTGAAGCACAAAGCTGGTGTCTCTAAACTTAGTATGAAGCCACTAAGAGTCCGTGGAGAGGGAGAATGAAGAGGGTCCCAGAATCAAGAAAGTACAGAAAGTGTCTTTAAATGAGGAAAAACACATATACACATTTTCCATTAGCTCAACAGCTACAGTAAGTTCAGGGTTAGGTCAGCGCACACTAAGGCCCTAAGGTGGGCTGGTGTGGATCTTGAACTTCTGGGCGTGGATGGCGACAGAATCCAAGATCTGGCTCAAGCTCTAGCTCTGGGCAGGCCCATCCTCTACTCCACATGTGTTACATCCTCCCCCTCCTGGTCCCTCTTATCTTCTAGGAAGATAAGAGCGCCTTCCCCAGAGACTGCAGCTTCCCCCTCCTAGTGTCTCACTGATTATGTATAGAAAAAGCTGCAAGGGAATGTCACTCCTTTTTGTTCTGGAAGGGGGAGCATCCACTCTGTTGGTGAAGCCCACTGATGAGGGTCTGGAAGGCTCCACCTGGAGGAGGCTGGCTGTGTGGCCTCTAACTGGGGGGCGCGGGATGGCCCCCTGGATGCCCAGAGGCAGCACTGTAGGTCTTCAGGCTGAAGCCTGACCTGAATCTGAGTAGTGAGAAAGGGGCTGATGAGGGAACCCACTTTCTGACCCTATTCAAGTTGCCCGCAAGGAGCCCTGTACCCCGCCCCTTGCACACCTGTGCCCATCTCAGTTAGACACGTGTTGCATGCGCTATGGCCACTTTGTTCACAAGTCTGTCCTGCCATGAACCACAGAGGGAGATGTGTGACCATCTCCAACCTTCACAGAAATGTTCTTTGGGACTCAACAGGTGCTCTCTGCTGGGCTCAGGCCTGACAGAATGCTGTCACCAAACAAGAGGGTCAGGATGGGAGAAGAACTAGAATTGGTGGCACACCTGTGGCTCTGGGCTGTTTTTCCTGGCCCAGAGCCTGTCCCTCACTGGATCCCTGTACCATTCATCACTGCGGATCTGGCAATGTCCCAATGGTGTCCTGACCCCAGTCCTGCCTCTGGAAGGTCCCAGGGTCCCCAGCTATACTGATAAGACACTCAGTCCCAGAGCTGTCCCAGCCCCTTCCACCTGACATAGTGAGCCAGCAGAGAGGCAGCTCAGTCAACACCTCTCATCACAGCTGCCTGGCTAAGGTGGGGCCATGTGCCATTCCAGGAGCTCTGAGGAAGGAGAAATGGAGTCACTGAAAAGTGTTCAAGGGGGCAGGTCTCTGAGGAGATTACACAATAAAAAACATGCACCTAGAAACATGGTCCTGCCACCCACAAGACCAGGAAGCCCCTTCTCCCAAGAGGACTTTTTTGGACAGACTCCATCCCTGGAGATGGGTGTTGTTCTGTGGCCTGACCTAGTGGCTTTCTGGCTCACTCGTATTCGTCATTCTACACACCTGGTCCCCTGAAAATGGGACTGAGTGAGGAGGCTGGCATGTGACTTAGGGACATGAGAGGTGACGTGACTACTCACCAGCAAACTCATATTGCCAGATGCCCCAGAATGGGCCTCCAACCATATGATGGGCACTAAGCCACATCTCCCCACTTCCCTAGGGTAGAACAGGTGGCTCGTGGGACTTCGAACATGGCACACCTTCACTTGGGCTTGAGGTTCACTTTGGTGACATCATTTCATATCCATCACCTCAAGGAGCATCGTGACAATTGGAAGTAGACCAACCCAATTGATTCCAAAACTCTAAGACACAAAGACTATGCCTAAATATCTCATTTTTGAACCCCAAGCTGACTAGTGCAAGGATAAGGGAATTTTGTAAAGAAATGCAGGGAGTTGGGCCCTCCCTGGTGGCACAGCGGGTTAAAGCACAACACTGGGAAGCTAAAGCCACTTCAGCATGAGTTTGATACCCACCCGGGAGGTGGTCCACATGGTGCAGCAGACCTCTCCTGACCTGCCAACTGCTCCCCTCAGCAGTGTACTTACACAATCAGACTGTTCTGCTCCCCACTCTGTCGCTGGTGAATCTTCTCACCGCCCATGCACCTCTGGCTTGTACCCCAGTTGTGTATGCACAAATAAATCTTAAAAAAAAAAAAAAAGAAATGCAGGAGTTGGGTGCTAGGCTCAGAAGGTATGCAGCCAGGTCCTGCGGTTTGTACTGCTGAGGACCTCTGATAGGGTCAGATATCTAATGGAGAATGAAGTAGGGCTGACTGTTAAATATTCAAGAATTTTCTGGGTCAGTTTTTAAACCAACTAGTAGTTTGAAGTCAGACTTCATGTGAGTACTTATCCCACAGAAATTGGCAAATTCCTAGTCAGGATTTTCTTTTTTTGGGAAAGTTAGTTTATCGTCACACTGCTGTACAGAGGTGTTGGTCCCTGTCTCTGGAGCAGGCAAAGCCCCGTGGTAGATGATTAAGTTTTTAGCTATCTCCACCCCCACCCACCCAGTTGGGCCCAAATTATCTCTAGATCTAGCCTGCCTTCCTCACACTCCCTCACAGCCTCTCCACTTGTGGGCCTCCTCAGAGAGAAGTGATCTGTCCCTCTTGACCACCCAAGACAAAAGCACACAGGAGTCTTGTAGCCTCTAGGAGAGGAGAAAGGGGCTGAGTTTAGGGACTAGTGTCTGGCTTGGGTCAGGTGAAGCAAAGTCTCAATTTCCTTTAATCCTTGGGAGAGTCCTGTCCCTTGACTACTTAAGGACCTGGGAATATCTATGTCAATGGTGCACTGATGAGTGAAACCAGCTGGGGCAGGTCACTGCCTCCTCCCAGAACCTAGGAAATCATGGCTAATTATTGACCAGTATCGGTACTGGGGCAGGAACTCCCTCATTATTACCCATTAGCAACTCCTGTGTATGCTCACAGTGGGCAAATCAGGACAACAAACAGGAAGGAATAGGCCCTTCCCATCACTGAGATCAGGGCTGTGAGCTCAGCCAGCCCAACGCAGACCAAGCTCCCCAGATCCTTTTGCTGTTACTTCCCTACCCATGCCCACCCTTCACCTCCAGTCCCCTTGAGTACTGAAACCCCTGGCGAGCAGTGGGGACCGAACTTAGAAACCATGGCCCTTCTTTTTAGAGTTTCCAGGCCTGGAGACATCTGGAGAGCACTGCAGGAGCCCAGAGAAGTGCCTTTCATTCCTGGGGGGGGGGGGGGGGGGGAGTAGAAGTCATAGGGAAAGGGAGGTTACCAGAGCATTCTCAGTAAATAATTGGGGGCAAAGAGTAGAAAACTTAGGGAATTTGGTGACTATGAGGCCCCAGACTGAAACACAGGCAGGTCAACAAAGTCAGGTGCTGTCATTTCCCTCCAGACTGCCACTGCTAGCTCCTTCATTCCCAAGGTCAAGTTGACCCTGGTCGCTGGGCTGGGAGAAAGCAAAGGGGGATTTCAAGGCAGTGAAAGAAAAAATGAAGTCAATAGGTGCACTTCCAGCTTCATGGGCTGGCAGTCAGGGCCTGAGCTTGATTTGACACTCAGCCATTGCTGTCTCAAATTCCCCAGTCATCTTGAACCAGGGGCCCATGCTAACCTTACGCACAGGCCTGTAGGTCCAACCTGAGGGAGACGTGCTCAACCTGCACATGTAAAACAAAGTCACACTAGAGTTCTCAGTGCCAAATGGCTGAGAAGTTGGGTAATCTGCATATGGAATTCAGTTCCCATCTTTCATTTCACACATTTATTTCCACACACATTTACATGAGGTATTAAAATCATTTATTGGAGACACCTGCTGTTTATTAGCCTCTAGGCACATTTGTTGCCTCAAAGAACTAGGCAGATCCCTATCACCATGGCTTACAAGCTAATGAAAACACGACACAGATGTTTAACAGCCCAGTTTTGAAGAATTTAAGACCATTGTGTATGTGCAGGCTGACCACTTGAAGCAGCCCCAGTCATAGCCATGCTGCTTTCAAGTGGGTCACCCTGCCTTCTGCACCAACCCTCCCCACACGCCAGGCCAAGGACATGACACCCTCCATTCTCCTACCTTGCCCCAGGAGTAAGAGCCTGCTTGCCTGTGAGACTCCTGCATAACTCCGGCCCTGGCCTGACCTAAAGCCCTGGCCCCAGGGCCTGGTCCAGGTGTTTGTAGGGTTGATGGTGCAGTTCTGAGAAGCAGGGGCCACAACTGCATCCAGCCTCCAGTGCTCTGATTCAGTGGGTTATGATACCAGGTCTTCAAGCTGAAAAGAGGGCCAAAGAAGTGAATTCTGCACAGAAATCTAGTTGCAGACAGATCAGGACCCAAGGGAGTCAGGGTTAGCTTTGACCAAAGTAAGATGTTTAGAGAAACCAAAAACACCAAAAGGTTCTTTTACCCAAGCCATAAACCCTCAGACTACCAGCACCACCTCAGTTTCTGAGCAGGAACTACTCAGCCCCACCAGTCAATCACAGCCAAAGGTACTTGGGCAGAAAGTTTTTCTTCATAGGTCCCCTTCTTAGGCCCTGTCACAGTGCACACTGCAGAGGCCAGTGTGCCACTGAGGGACAAAGTGCAGCTGCCCCAGTTCTATTATTCCAGTCTCTATTTCCCATTTGATTTGCTCTTC